AAATAATAATAATAATAATAATAATAATAAGAAGAAGAATAATAAGAATAAGAATAATATTGTTCACACAATGTATCGTATATACGGCGTTTTTCTCTCGTTTATCGCTGCTTCGAAGCATGTTAAATATATAATTAATCTCTGCAAGCGTGACTGAAAATCGAGAATCGAATTACGCATGCCTTCAATTTAGACGTTAGAGGATCCCTTACGATCCTCCTGTTAGAGAATTTTTTCTTTATATTCTGTGTTCGTTACTTTTTTATGTAATTTTCTGTTTTGTCTTTTTTTTTTGTTTGTAATTAATGAACTGCCTATTACTCTCTTGGAACTTTCTCGGGAGAAAGTCTAGATACTCTAACGATAATAATTGCCTATTAAGGACCGTCGAAGCGACACCGTCAATCAGCCGCGAACAATCGACATTTTCGCGCGTACATGGATGATAATAATCGACAACCATGAACACGAAGACAACGACGTATTAATACGAGACGCTTCATACGCTAGCGAGGCGACGGGGACTCGTATTATTTGGTTGCATTAAATTATTTAGCCTCGCCGGGGGCTAACTCGGAGCGTCTTCCGGCTCCATCACACCGTCGGATACGCTCGACTGTGTTTCACCGCTCTGGCTCATCGACACGAACTGTTGTGACAACGTCTGCAGGCTCTGTCGCACCTAAAATGAATTGAGCCTTTGTTATCATCTGGTTTTTGTAACGGATTGGATTAATGGGTTAATTAAATTTGTTGAATGAACAGGGCTAGTGAACTCGTCATTTGAATAATCAGTATTTAAAATACAACAGTGTGTTTATCAAGGTACCAAAATTTAAAATTTGCATTTTCAAAAGCGGGAATAAAATAATCGAGTAAGATTTCTACTGACTTCAGTTAAGGAATAAACCGATTTAACAAGTTAATACCTGAAGATTTTTTAAGGGAATATCACGATGAATAAATTTCAACATAATAAACGATTAAATAAGTAGAATAGTGTTTTTCAAATATCTTACAGTTGCTACACAATAAAATAAAGGAAAAGAATTCGTATAATTATTATTTTGGTTCATTTTAATTATTTCTACATTTGTGTCTACGTTTTACTTACATTCTAGATCACATCTTTTAGATCACTTAATGTTTATATTTTTAAGAAGAGTAGGAACACAATAATGAAACAAGTAATAAATGAAGAATGTAAAATATATGAGGAGATCTTGTAATCACTGAAGTAAACGAGTAGTATCGTATGACGTCTGTTTACATGGTCCGAAGCACCGTACCTTTACAATTTGATCAAGGTTTGTGTTAAGGTAATGCAACAGCCGATCCTGAGTGAAACGTTCCGGTGAAACGAACGGATGGTTCAGATACGCTGTGTGTAACCTGTCGATGCGAATCATCATCAGGGCCGCCGACACGTAGAGAGCTACTAGAAGAGCTATCAATATGGTGATCACTGTGCTAGTTTTCAGTCCACCCGTGAATAAGGATAAAATAACTTTGGATTTGCTGGGCGTGGCTGGACGTTCCACTCTGGAAAGATATACAAATGATAATTAACAAACTTCGTTAAAACTACTATGTGAAATAGTTGCAATATCCTTTCCTCGTAGAAAATCTTTCTTAAATCTTCATTTAAAATTACTGTTAATTCGAAACGTATTTCTCACAGCAAGAGAAAAAAAGAAAAATTGAAAAACAAATTGCGTTGCATGTTCGATGGTTACCCAAATGTTTCTATACGTTTCGAAAAAAGCGTACAAAATTTCCATCTTCAATCCACACCTTGTTCTCCAAATAAACCGTACTTCGCGACTGCCTAACCAATTTATTTACAGATTTGAGCAAACGTATTTTTCAGAATGAAAAAACTTTGCAGTGCGAATATCTAAAATCTTGAATCGAATATTACTTGGGTCAACCTGTTTTAACCCTGGTGCTCCAATTGTTCAAAAAAATAAATATAAAATTAAAAAAAGACAGTAACATTGTCACAATGCTCACACATTAATACCAACTTTCTTACATCTCCAAATTAGAAACAAAAAAAAATCACAATACTGATTATGTATCATACGACACAAGTACAAGCAAATAAAAGTACTCCCAAGTCCATAAAAAAAAACGAAAAAATCCAGGGAAGATCGAAAGAAGATCTCGAACTTTTAGCCAATAGTGTGACCATTAGAAAACCGCAAGGGTCGAGAAGCACGGATCTGGCGAAAGACTAAAAACGTTTCACAGGAAAGGAGCAATTATTTACTTTATGGGTGGTGGTGGTGGCAAACTCGGCCTGGCGATGGGCAACGGAACAACGCTATCGGTGTCGGTGCATACTGTCGGCGGTCTGGAATTCAGATCCGTCCCGCTTTCGGACATGCTGGAATCGTTCTCCTCGGGGTTCACCTCGGAGTCGTCGACCACCAACGTTTCCGACACGAGCAACTTTTGCTCGTCGCAGAGCGGCAAAATCTCTGGCAACGGTTGCGGCTCCAACGCGGCGACCCAAACCTGTTTCATCAGGTTGAAAGTCGATTCTCTGGACAGAAGGGAGCCGAAGACATGTCTCTCCTCCTCGGTGGCGACTGCCACCGCATTTGGAATGATTCGCGCGGTCCTCTCTTTGCTGATCTTCAACACCGAGGCGGTAGGTATCAGCAGCTTCGTTACGTATCCGAACACGTTACTGTAGAACGCGAAATAATTCGGCGTGATGTACAGGTGACCCTGCAGCAGGATGTCGCTTACCAGCGCGCAACTGTAATAGTCCAATACGCGTTCATCCGCAGCGACCTGAACAGAAATTTACGAGAAGATTGTAGATACGAGTTCTTCAACAATTTTATTTTTAATGTCTTGG